CTAAGAAGCCACAGTGACCTTCCTAAAGCACAAATCTAACCATGTCAGCTCTTCAAAGGCTCCCCTTGCCCCTCTGTGTGATTTGCTCCTTAAATATCCCTTCAGGTCCCGCATGATCTGGCACCAATAGATCTCAGAAGGCTTTTTCTTCCTCTCACTTTTCCATCCTGCACCCTGCACTAAGCCATTCTGAATGGCCCCCATTTCCTAAAGGGTCTCTTATGCTTTTGTGCTGTGCACAAGCTATTGCTCCTCCCTGGGTCACCCATTCCCCTGTCTCAATTATCTCCTCCTCTGTGAAGCCCTCCCAACTCTCTAACAATTGGCCCTTCACATGTACACAGTCCCTCACAGTCAACAAACACTTCCCATGTGATCTGCTGTTGGCTGAGCCAAGCACACATTTAAGTTTCTCTTTTTTTTTTGAGACAGAGTTTCGCTCTTGTTGCCCAGGCTGGAGTGCAATGGCATGACATCGGCTCACCGCAACCTCCGCCTCCTGGGTTCAAGCGATTCTCCTGCCTCATCCTCCCGAGTAGCTGGGATTACAGGCGTGAGCCACTATACCTGGCTAATTTTGTATTTTGTATTTTGTATTTTGTATTTTTTTTTCAGACGGAGTCTCACTCTGTTGCTCAGGCTGGAGTGCAGTGGTGCCATCTCAGCTTACTGCAAGCTCCGCCTCCCGGGTTGACGCTGTTCTCCTGCCTCAGCCTCCCAAGTAGCTGGGACTACAGGTGCTCGCCACGGCCCTGGATATTTTTATTTTTATTTTTTATTTTTTTGTATTTTTAGTAGAGATGGGGTTTCTCCATTTTGGTCAGGTTGGTCACGAACAGCTGACTTGAGGTGATCAACCCACCTCAGTCTCCCAAAGTTCTGGGATTACAGGCGTGTGAGCCACCGCGCCCAGCCATGCTTTTTTTTTTTTTTTTTTTTTTTTTTTCTAAAGACAAGGAAACAAAGGCCCAGAGAATGGTAAAGCTGGGAACCGATCTCAGGTCTCCAAACATCAAGGCCACTGCTTGTTGTGGCTTCTCAGCCATGGGAGTGAATCCAGGTCAGAATGTGAAAAGAGATTTTTAAAAACTGGCTGGGCGCGGTGGCTCATGCCTGTAATCCCAGCACTTTGGGAGGCCCAGGCAGGTGGATCACGAGGTCAGGAGATTGAGACCATCCTGGCTAATACGGTGAAACCCCGTCTCTACTAAAAATACAAAAAAATAGGTGTGGTGGCGGGCGCCTGCACTCCAGGCTGCTCAGGAGGCTGAGGCAGGAGAATGGCGTGAACCCAGGACTCGGAGCTTACAGTGAGCCGAGATCGTGCCACTGCACTCCAGCCTGGGCAACAGAGTGAGACTCTGTCTCAAAAACAAACAAACAAAAAAACAAAAAACACCATCAGCTCTGAGCTTCAGAGGAGGAAGCGTCTTACCTAACTGGGGAGAGGTGAGGAATAGGTAAAGAGTAAAGGGCAGCCATGGCTTCATGGAGGAGGTGGCATCTGCCCTGAGGTCTTACTAAACGTTAGCCAACAGGGCCAGGCATGCTGGAGCAGGGCTGTCTAAGGGAGCAGCCAGGTGTGGGGCTCCTGGAGTTGTGCCCTAAGGGGCCTGTTCCCAGCTTATTCATCTGAAGAAGTGCTGGACCTAGAGGCAAAGTCCTGGCTGGAGTCCAAAAACCCTGAGCCAGGGAAGCCCTGCACCCAGCCGGCTTTAGGGAGTGACAGGCAAGCCAGAGAGCATGGCCAGAAGCCTGGAAGGGTGGAAAGAACAGTTGAGGATCAAGTTCTCTAATCCTTCCAAAGAGGGATCTGGGGAAAGTTCTTTTTTTTTTTTTTAGACAGAGTCTCGCTCTGTCACCCAGACTGGAGTATAGTGGCACGATCTCAGCCCACTGCAACCTCTGCCTCCTGGGTTCATGCGATTCTTCTGCCTCAGCCTCCTGCGTAGCTGGGATTACAAGCGTGCCCCACCATACGCAGTTTTAATTTTCGTATTTTTAGTAGAGATGAGGTTTCACCATATTGGTCAGGCTGGTCTTGAACTCCTGACCTCGTGATCTGCCCACCTCAGCCTCCCAAAGTGCTGGGATTACAGGTGTGAGCCACTGTGCCCGGCCCGGGGAAAGTTCTTAAAGGAACTGAACCAGGATTGTGGGCAGGATTCCTTGATGGCAAGGAACAGTGCCTACTCATGGCAGGGTGAGTACAGGGGAATGGATTAGTTGGGACTTTTGGTTGCAAGTGAACAAAATCCAACTCATATAAGCTTAAGCAAAAAGGGAGGTTTATTGGCTCATGTAATTGGGAAGTTCAGGCATGGCTGGGTCCAGAAACTCAGTTGCATCCTCTCTCCTTCCCGCCTCCTGCTTCTCTCTCTGTGGCACCATTGTCCTTCCAGATGTGCTTCTTCCATGTTCTTTCAGCTGCCAAACGGGTTCCCAGCTCACATTGCCCCAAATTAACAACCTCAGAGAAAAAGAGCCAAACCTCCCAGCAGCCCTAAATAAGAGTGAAGAGTGTCTCACCTGGGGTCACATGCTCATCCCTGTGTCCATGGACACAGAGCTCCCCGCCACTGGTCAGGTCCCAGTCACAAGCCTACTTCTTCACCAGAGAACCAGGGAGGCAGGGCTTTTTCTTAGAAAGAGGCCGGGAAAAGTGATTACTCAAGCAAAACCACTAGCCACCAAATTTCCTTTCGGGGGCATTTGTTGAAACAATGTGGAGAATCGCATGAAAGTGTAGGGCACCAGAGCCAGGCCTTAGCTAGAACTTGGGAAGCTGTCAGGACCAGAGGTGGCTCCCTCTCAGGGCAGCATGGTTTCTCTCATGTGCTGCGCTCTGCACATCCTTTCCCATCTTGATCTGCTGCTCAGCTCATTCTGCTCAGAGAGTTTCCACCTGCACTGAGCTTTACACTGCATATAACTGCAGTCTGCTGAGGCTCACCCAGGTCTCCTGGGAGCCAACTGTATTTCATAGCATCTTCAGCTTCTATTCCAATGGTCGACTGCCTAGCCCATTTCCCAATTCCAAATTCCTGAGAAAGAGAAATCTGATTGGCCCAGGTCATCTTTTCAAGCCAATCACACAGATTAAAGGCCACTGGACAGCATGGGGGTGGCTCACTTTTGTGTCCAGTGCTCACCTCCACCCAAGTAACCACTCTATACATTCTTCTTGAGTGACTTCATCGTTCTCCTCCATGAGGCACCTGAGAATGACTGACCCCATTCCTAAAGTTTCAATTATTTATTGCAGTGTAACAAACTGCCCCAAAACTTAGTGCCTGAAACAATTTATTATTTTTGATGATTCTGTGAGTTGGCTGGGCTCAGTTGGAAGGTTTTACTGCTTCATGTTGTGTTGGCTGGCGTCATCCACATAGCTGCACTCCACTGGGAGCTGAGCTGGGGCTGGGACAACCAGGAAGGCCTCATTCACATGTCTGCCAGTTGTGCCTATAGTCACCTGGGCTGTCGCTAGCTTCTTATCCTCCAGGTCCTGTCTGTCTCACTATGTGGCTTTTCCAGCAGGATAGTCCAGGCCTCTTTACATAGTAGGCGACTCCCAAGAGGGCAAAAATGGAATCTGCAAGGCCTCTTAAGACATAGCTTGGAAACCACACAGCACCACTTCTACTCTGTTCAATTGGTCAAAGCAAGTCACAGGGCCAGCTCAGACTGGACTCCACCTCTGAATGGGAAGAGTGTCAAAGTCGCATTGCCAAAGGACAGGCAGGATGGAAGAAGTTTTTGGGCCATCTCTGGAAACAATCTACTAAGCCTAGAAGTAAATCTAAACACATTTCCCCCCAATCCTAACATTTTATTACGATTTTTCCCCTTCCTCCCACACAAGGTTTGGTTTGTTCCTCCCAGGACCTGGTGGAGGCTGAGGGGATCACTCCATTCTGTAGCCCCATCACCTCCCCAGTCAGAGGCCCTCCTAGCTAAGCCAGTGTTTTCTCCTGCGTCTTCCACCCACCCATGCACACCTCTGAGAGAGGCTACTTGCCTGCTTCCTAGTCTGTGCCTTGGGATGGGTGACATTTGTGTATGCACCCCGAGAGTATTACAGAGCTCTGCATCAAGAGGGACAACACCCTGGAATTCCAGGATGTTAGTTCCGAGGCCCCTCTTCTGCCCTCCCTCTATCCAGCCCCTTCATGGCCTATAACTAATTACTCCAAGCTGGGCAGGTGGGGGCCTGGGAATGCGCGCCCCCTGCTGACCACCAAAGGGCCAGCAAGAATTCCTGTTCAGAGTCCCTGGGAGTCTCTCTGGGTCCCCACCCTAGGTCAAGAGGAGCCTGGTCTCGACATGGACTTCGAGGGCCCCTCCTAGGTGGTGTGGACGAGCTGCCGGCCTGGGGCCTTCACTGAGCTCCCGCTGGGAGCAGGCTTCTGCTAGTGGTCGGAGCTACCATGCATCACCTCCTGCCCGCCTGCCGGATGGACTGGCTTCGGAGGGAAGGGGACATCGTCAGGATCCCAGGGTCCTGGCTCCTAAAGAAAAGATGGGCGGCTAGCTTTTGGGAGGGGGACGGCTAGCTTTTCATTTTCTCGTTTGGAGATCACTATCCTGGGGGGAAAAAAAGTTGTCATGCCTCTCCTCTCTCCGCGCCCTTCAGCGCCTGCGAAGAACACCATTTTCGCAATCCCAAATCCGCTGCAGCCCACAAACCCAGAGAGCCAGAGAGCCCTCCTCACCACCCAACCGGCTTCGGGCGTGGGTCGGTCGGGGAAGGAGAGCCCAGCTATCCCTCATACCGTACGGCAGTAGCAGCAGCAGCGGCAGCGACACACGGGCGACCGAGAGGGCGAGTGTGACCTCCCCCCACCCGGCGGGCGGGGAGCCCAGCTCACACGCACAGCCTCCCCGCCGCTGCCCGCCCCCTTCCCTCGCAGGGACTCGCCTCCCTCCCGCAGCCCAGCTCAGCCAGCTCCGCGTCTACGCCGCTGCCTGCTCTGGCCGGGCCCGGTCAGAGCCGGAGCATGGAACCTGGAGAGCCCCGGGAGCCCCAGGAGCCCCGCGAGCCTGGGCCAGGAGCGGAGACCGCTGCGGCCCAGGTCTGGGAGGAAGCCAAGATTTTCTACGACAACCTCGCGCCCAAGAAGAAACCCAAATCGGTAAAAGCAATGCACGGGTATGCGCGGGACTGGGGAAGGGTTACCCCGGAGGAGGGGTCGTAAGTCTCTTGGGAAGGGACCCGTGGCGCCCCTCTGGGAGGGGACGCAGCTCCTCAGCCCCAGAATGCGCCTGGCAGCTGGCGCGGGCTCGGGTTTATTTTGGGAGCTCTGCTCTGGTGTATTTTTTACCGGGACTCGGGTTCCACGCCAGGATCCCCCTCCCCCATGCTGTCATCAGGGCCCAGCTAGAGGCCGGCAGCCCCAGCCCCTCCCCGCGCGGGCCGCCGGGGAGCGCGGATTGCACTTGTTGGCGAAGCCGGTCGGCAGCGCTTGCAGAAGCGCCCCAGGCGCGAGTAACCAGACTCGGGAACCCAGTTCCTGGCTGTGCGCTCTGGTCTCCGCCACCTGGGCATCGGGCTCCGGACCTGAGACTCTGCGTTTGGAGTCTGGCTCTGGGCCCTTGGCCCTGGGCTGGGGGCAGTGCGCTCCCCGCGTCCTAAGTTGCTCTCTCCAGGCACTGGGATCCACACTCTGCCCTGGGAGGCGATCGGCGCCCCTGGCTGCAGGCTCCCAATGCTGGACTCTGCCCCCCAGCTCGGCTTCTGCTCCCCTTGCAGTGGACATTAACATCACGACCCTGTGGTGGTGTCAGCCGTCTGGGAACTTACACAGAGGAGCTCTCTCCTCTCCCCCATCAAACAAGTTGATGATGCTCTGGTCTGCCCCTGGGCCTTGCTGTCTCCAGCTTCCCAGATGGCAGAGCTTGAGGAGAGAACTGAGAATAGAGATTGGCCCACAGCGGTCCTCCGAAGAGCTCCAGCTTGATCTTGCTGCTTCCCTCCAAGGACCCCTCCCCAAGAGGTCCACCCTATCAGCAATCATTCACTTAGCACCTCCAAGCTCTGCTCAAGCTTGCACACTGATGGAGGCTCCAGAGATGAGAGCCTGGGGGAGTTGCAGGGGAGTGGAGTAGTGATGTCACACTGGGGAAAGCTTTGTAGAAGTGGCATGTATCCTGATCTTAAAGCCTGAGTAGCTGGAGTTTCCCAGAGAGAGGGAAACAGGACAGGCAGAAGTCATGCAGATGTCTCTGAAGCTCAAGACTGTGTTCCCGAGTAAGTTCTGAATAAAGAATGCAGGATTGTTGGGAGAAGAGCTGGAGGGATGTGGAAGAGCCCACAGAGGGCCTTGGGGATCATGTTAAGGAGTCTGGACCTTACTCAAGGAGGTCAGGGATTTTCAAACTAGCTTCCCCAAGCCCTGTGTTTCAGGGAGTCTGCACATGTGGGAATCCAAATTATTTTCTTTCTTCTTCAGATTATGTTTTAAACAATTAAAAATGTGGAATAAAACCCAACTCACTCTAATGTATTAGGTGGACATTTTAGCAGCTTAAAGGCCACTAGCTTGGGCTGCAGATTTTTTTAAGCAAACTTCAGAATAAGGCTTCCCCTGTGATCTATTTCATCAAAGAGCATCTTGAGATTGCAAGGCCTGTAGTTTAAAACAAAACAAAACAAAAAACCTTTTAGCATTTCCAACCACTTATTGGTCTGAATCAGGACTTTCTTAATAGTGTACAAATACAAACACAGCAAAAACTTGGCTGGATGCTGAAGCTTAAGTCTGCACTGGCATTCTAACCTCTAGTTTCAAATTTGTTGTCATGCAAAAAACTATGTTGTTTTCATTGGTTGACTTTATAATAAATAAATAAATGTAATGCATTTGAATCTGTAAAATAAATATACACCAATTATATATGTTATATCTGGTACCACATGGTATGAGATATATGGTAATATCTGGCTTACATATTGAATTCAAAGTTCATTTGAATTCATTTAAATAAAAGCTCAATCCACATTTTAAAAAACATATGAATACCATTATGGAGCTATTACAGGATTTTTCATCAGGGGATTAACTGGGTCCCATTTTTATTTTAGAAAGATCACTCTGGGATGGATTGGAAAGAGTGAGTCCGGCAGCAAACCCACCAGTAAGAATGCTGGTGCCTCTCTGAAGAGGAAGCTGGATGAATGTCAATGCTGTGGCCTGAGTGATGGGCGGGGGAAGGGATGGAGACTTGAGGACTGGGGTAGTGAAAGCATCAGTGATCAAAATCCATTTCCTCCCCAGGCACCAAGGAACTGGAGAGCTCAGGCCCAGTTGTCAGTCATAACCCCTGGGTCAGCCCCTGACTCTCACGGTTCTCTGGGAGGCAAGAAGCCTGGAGACTTCCCAGCTCCTATTCCTTCATGCAGAAGCCCCTCTTCCCACAGGCTATTTTGGGGGCTTTAGGCCTCATGGGCCCCATCATGGCCTGGCCTGGGCTAATTCTCATTCCCAGGGGCCTGAGTAAAATATTTAACGCCTGAAGGCTTGTTAGAGGCCCTCACCTCATGGGGTCACAGCACTTCTTCAATCCAGTACTCTGCTGTCTGTCTCTCCTTCAGCAGCCTTTCCCTCTCTAAGTCCTACTAGGAATAACAGTTTTTTGCCTATGTTTCTATCTTGGACCCAATAGGCAGAATTACGTTAGCCTAAATGGGAGCTCCTCAGGCAGGCCAAGTGGGAGTGGGCTGCCCTCTGTTATTCTTCCATTCCCATCCCCTAGCCGCAGCCATCAGCCTGAGCCTGGAAGGCAGAGAGAGCTGCCAGGACCCTGGTTTCCTGGAGCTCCGAGCTCCCAGACTGAGCCCTTGAGCCACTCTGACCCAATTCCCAGTCTGAGATCAGGGCTTCTTTCTGCTCTCTAGAAGTACTGTTCCTAGATGCCCCTGCCAACACATGGCCACCTCTGCAGCCAGGCCCAGGAGGGTTTCTACATCCATGACTTCTCCCCAGCTCTGGCCAGCCCCTTTCACCTGCTCCTTCAGCTCCACCTGGAGCCTGGACAGATCATTCATCAATCCCAGCTGGGATCCATATTTCTTACACAGTCATGGCCTCTGGGATCTTAGACACCACCTCACTTGTACTGTGTCACAGCAGTCTAAGTGGGGATGCAGAGTCCTGCCCTTGGGACCCCCATTCTGACGGTAAACAGAGACCAGCCATTAGAAACCTCCGTTTGTGGGCATGCCCTGATCATTTCTGCCAAATCTGGAAAGTGAAGGCTGGGGGAGATGTTTCCAGGGAAGGCAGAAGTAGCAAGGGATGGGGTCTTCTGGGAGTTGTTGAGGAGGGGAATGGCAAGGGGACTGCAGTGTGGATAGAGGTCAGGCTAGAGGCTGGAGACTTGAGATCTCATCTTGCTCTGCCTTGACCTAGAGTGATAATCTGCCCCTTTCTGGGCCTGTTTCCCTATCTGGAAAAGAGAGAAGCAGAGGCCTCTTGGGGCCAATGTAGCCAGGACGTTTTTCTTGAAACAGCCAGGGGTGGGATGGATTGGGGTCTGTCTAAGTAGCTTAGCCAGAGGGAGCCTAGGACTTGGCAGTCTGGCAGGGACTATGGGACAGAAAGTGAGGAGTGAGACCTTGGCTGGCTGCTAGGGCTGGAGTGGCAGGCTTGGGAACCTGCCTAATGGGGCTGGGAGGGCAGCTGACTCTCTGTCCTTAAAGGGGCAATGGCCTTGTCCCTGGGGCAGTAAGCCCAAGGGGTGGAGCAAGCTCAGCTCCTGTTCCAAAGGCCTCCAGGCTTCCAGGGTTTATGAGGGTGGGTCTCCCCACTCCACCACCAACCCCGCCCTTAGGACACACACATGGTGGTAGTCAGCAACTGAGAAAGGTATTTGGGCTGAACCTCCAAGAAGAAGCACCTGTCCTGCCACTGCCTTACACAGACCTTGCTGGCCACATATACCATCTTGGCTGGGGTTAAAAGTCAAATGCAGAAAGTCTACCACGAGACCTTGGGGAACTCTTTTGCCTTCCACTCCCATTGTAAGGTTCTAAAGCTGCATTAACCACTAGCCACATATAGCTGTTTAAGTTCATTGAAATGAAATAAAATCTAAAATTCAGCTCTTCGGTCTCATTAGTCACCTTTCAAATTGTTCCATAGCCACAGGGACAGCACAGATTATGGAATATTTCCATTATCATAGAAAGTTCCATTGGACAGTGCTCTTTTAAAAGATGGCATTGGCCTCTGTCTTGGGGGTGGATCTTGAGCTCCATGGGGACAGGGATCACACTTGTGTTGTTTCCTGCCATGTCCACCACAGTGTCTCTCAGATGGCAACCACTCAATGTTGTCAACTGATTGGAGCCCAGGACTGACCCCAGAAAGAAGCAATAGGGTTGAGTACACGACCCATGGGTGATCAGGAGGGGCGAGAATGAGAGGTGCATTTATGAACCTTGACTTCAATTTGAGCCCCATTTTTAATTTGTAAAGTGGGAATCATGACCCCAGGACTGCTTAGGACACAGAGATGTGGTGGGATTCTCTGGGTATCTGTAAGTTCCTTGGGCACTCATATTCTGATCCTCCTAAGGGACTATAAAGGTTCAGCTGGTGTCTGGGGTGGCGGGTGCCTGTAGTCCCAGTTACTTGGGAGGCTGAGGCAGGAGAATCGCTCAAACTCGAGAGGCAGAGGTTGCAGTGAGCTGAGATCACGCCACTGCACTCCAGCCTGGGGAACAAGGGTGAAATTCCATCTCAGGAAAAAAAAAAAAAAAAAGAAGGGGAAAGTATGCCCTGATGTGACAAAGGTCAGATGGGGCAAAGCTAGGGGATGGGAAGAGGGGAATGGAAAGGGAAGTAAGGGTCTGTTGTGAAGGGCTTTCTATTCCCACACTAGAGGCTGCCAACCATATTCTGAGAATAGTGTGCACCACTAAAGAGGGGAGCTGTGGTCAGATCTGAACTTTAGAAAAATCTCCTGACAGCAGCATGAATGACAGATTACAGAAGGCGACAGATGACCAAAACAGCCTGAATGAAAGAAGTGGGTGGATTCTAGTAGAGTTGACTCATTTCAGTGATTGATTGATGAGGAAGGGAGTTGAGGCTGACTTCCCAGTTTCTGCTTCAGTAATAAGTGGATAGTGGTTCTAAGCCTTGCTAAGAGTTACAGGGAGAAGGGATCAGGTTTGGGAGGGGAGAAGGTGATGGGAATTCAGCCTTGGGAATGTTAACTTTGAGAGGCTGTTAGTCAACTGGGGCAGTTAGATGGATGTATGAATCTGGAGCTCAGGAGACAGATCTGGGCTGGAGATACATTTTTTTATATAAATTGTCATATTTATGGACACCATTTCTTCCTAAGGGCATGCAGCTCTTATTTTATAATGGAAACCATCTGAGATCATCGCCAGCATCAGTCATACTTTGGCCACATATATTGGCTTCGTTTTTTTGTTGTGTCCAGATGCCCGACTAGATTGCAAACTTCCAAGGGCATGGTCCTCCCTCCATCAGATTGTGCTTCCAGCAAGGGAGCTAGCACTTCTCTCAACCCACATCTGGGTCCATCATAGATGGGATCCTGACCTAAGTCCACAACTGCTCAAGCTGGGCCTCTTTAGGGTACAGGCTGGGTCTGGGTCTTCTCCATGTCCCCACTACCCAGGGAGACTCATACATGTAAGCCTGCCTCAGGGGCAGTCATCTCAGTGACAACCCCCTCTCCCATACCTCTGCAGCCCAAGCCTCAGAATGCAGTCACCATCGCTGTGTCCTCCCGAGCCTTGTTTCGCATGGACGAGGAGCAGCGGATCTACACGGAGCAGGGCGTGGAGGAGTACGTGCGCTACCAGCTGGAACATGAGAACGAGCCCTTCAGTCCCGGCCCTGCCTTCCCCTTCGTGAAGGTGAGGGGGCAGTTCCACCACTAGCTCATACAGCGCCTTTGTGGGGATTAGAACAAAGCACTCCCACAGGTATTTGAGTAAGGAAAAAGGGCCCCTCTGGGCAGATGTAACCACACGGGTGCACAGCTTGGCTAGGTGACAGAGCCTTTTGGGAAGAAAATTCGTCCACCCTCTGGAAGAAAGCAGCCCCACGCCTGGTAACCAGCTTGGTGAGTGGAATGCCGGCTGGATTTCAGCCCCGACTCTCTCCAGCTAGGTACCCCTGAGCGGTAAGCAACTTGCATTAGGAGAAGGTAGTTCATGCGCACTGATCTCATCCCAAGCATGGCTCCTCACCTCCCCTCATTGGATCCTTGGCCACCAACTTCAGGTATCAATCCTTGGGGGTCTAAGCTGGGGGATGCCCTCTCCCTTCCAGGCTCTGGAGGCTGTGAACAGGCGGCTGCGGGAGCTGTACCCCGATAGCGAGGACGTCTTCGACATTGTCCTCATGACCAACAACCATGCTCAAGTGGGTGTCCGCCTCATCAACAGTATCAACCACTATGGTGAGCATGAGCATGAGAATGGGGGGTTTGCCCTGGGACACCCCTACCAGACCCCCAGGGATGGGGCCACACCTCTGCAGGATGGAGTTGTACTGACCGGAACCCCAAGCCCAGTGTGTGCTGGTAAATTCCCTCTTTAAACAAACAAACAAAACCCTGATTTGTAGTGTTGCTAGTTTTCAGGGTGTAAATATTTCCACCAGGACTGGTTTCAAGCTATCAGTGGTTGAACAATACAAATGGCTCACAAAATTTCTGAGTGTTTAACTGTGGGCTCTTGCAAGCCTGTCCAAGTCAGCTCCAGCACACCCCACTCTCAGTGTGATTAGGTGGGACACTTACTGCCTCCCTGCCTCAGTTTCTCTAACAGTAATGGGGCTAACAGGTCTCACAAGGTTGCTGGGAGAATCAGGTGCAGCTGTCAGAGTGAAAGGGCTTTGCGTCTTAGTCTAAACTCAAGGTTAAAAATAATAGACCCTCCAGAGCTAGCTTAAGCCCAGGAGAATTTCTTATTAGGTTACAGGGGTGTCTTTCAGAGGACAGGAAATAAAATTGGGCCTACAAAGGCCTGAATCCAAGTACTGGAAATCTCTCCCAGGATCTTCTTTTCTTCAGGCCACATGAACATTTATTTGTGCTTCTCTAGCAAGTTTGCTCTTTTTTTTT